GAGAGAGAGAGAGAGAGAGAGAGAGAGAGAGAGAGAGAGAGAGAGAGAGAGAGAGAGACATGAAACAAAAAAAAAAAAACGCCATCAGCGAGTGTTGCTGTGGGACACGGCGTTGCCGTGGCGGGGTCCACTTGTTAAGAATAACTTAACAATCAGGGATTAGGGTTGGTTCTGCTACATCAGGGAAAAATATTAAGAATAACTTCAAAGAAGTTCAATAAAGATTTGGCCAATGAAAGACGTTCGCACCAAAACGAAACCGAATGCATATATTGCTCAGAGTCCCCATGACCCACCAGGGCTTACTTTTCAGGCTCAGCGAACCCGGTTTGGTAGTTTTTTTGTTCGGGTCGATAGTTCATGGTATGGTGTGCTCGTGGTTCAAAAGCCAGGTTTGAATCGAAATATTGGCCGCATTATAAATTTGTACCACACACCGTTTTTCAATTTCGTTTGGAGTCTTTCTAATGAGGGCTGTTAAAGCATTTTTGTTAAGTCAGAAAGTACACAGACTTCCAAGCCAGAAGGCCAAATTCCAGAGAAAAAAACACAGTAAGAGTCTGCATTTCTTCTCCAATTCCTTCCCGTCGCTAACTGAATAGGGGTGCCGTTCACATTTGGTTTGCGGTGTCTGTGCCTGTACAACAGGGCTGGGACTGGTAGGGAGATATTGCTCGAGGTTCTGGGCAAATTTGATAAGCTCCGCCTGCGGCAATGCCTCGAGTATGTGAGGGAGTGGAACACCAATTCACGCTATTGTCATGTTGCGCAATACATCTTGCAATCTGTTCTGGAGGCTCACCCAATGAAGGAGTTGCTTGAGGTAGGTCATCCAGCAAGCTCTTTTTTTTTTTTTTTTTTTTTTTTTTTTTTTTTTTTTTTAAGGTTGTCCAGCATGATGAAGTGATGGTCGGTGGAAGTTGTAAACTGGTGGAAGGGCTGAATTTATGTCAGTGGAGGTACTAAACTAGTGGTGGCGGTTATGCAAGAGGGAGACAGGATGTGCCCGTGCTCTGATACGTTTCCGGTCTATCAACGGACTTCTGATGTTGCTGGTCAGAGGCTGTGACCATGAACTGTTATGTGTCCAGCTTTCCATTCTTCTTTGAATCGTCAACGCTTCCCAAGTTATTTTTTCAAGCCTGCTCTCTCCAAGGCTGGGCTTGCTGGACCAGTGGAGTCCTGAGTGGAGTCCTGGGGCGGCCGCAAAAGGCTTAAAGGAGGACATGGTGGCTGCTGATGCAAACTGTTGGGATGTCTTTTGGACAGTTGAGGTCAGCTGGCAGCCTGGCACAGTCTGTCGTCTTTTTTGGTGGCTGCAAGGCCACTACTAGACTGCTAACCCCTCCCTTCTCCCTCGCCCCCCCCATTGCCCCCAAGCCCCCCCCAAACCCCACCTTGTATACCGCTGTGAACTTAGGAGGGTGGATGAGGTGGTGGTTTGTATATAATCCCTCCTGTTCACAGATTGATCCTCTTGGACTCTTCCCTGGGAAGATACTAGGAAGTTTTTACTACGGAATTAGTTATATCATAGGACCCCACTAACACGCCGTGTATCTTCCTACCCTTCTCATCTTCCGATTGATCATTGTCAAGCGAGATCGCAGTCCGCAGATGGGTTTCATATTGAAATGTCTGTTCTCCGGTAGCGCGAACAACATCCCATTAACTGCACACACTATCTTCCTATATAGTATATACACCATTACTAGGTTCGCTGTACGTCGGGCAGAACGGCTTATACTTCGGCGTATCCTTGTGCTCCCATTTACCCAGCCGGTCAGAATTCCGTTTACAAAATTCTCCGTGAATTTCACTCAGTGCAATCAGACTCGCTTTCAAACACACTTTTCACACATGTAAACAGTACGCAGCACACTGGCGACATGCGCCCACTCAAAACTCAGAGATATGGCTTCAGATACGAGTTCACTCTCAAATGGCTATGGCGACTTCAGCGCCCAAACATCTCACTGTTCACATGCACTGGATCACCCTGGATATCCCACACGCATCACTCTAACACTCGAACACACACACTCACTACTAACTACAGCTATGGCAGCAATAGCTGCCTCTAACCTATCGCTATGCTAACTCCTCCTCTCTTGCCCACTGCGTCCTCCGGGCTCATCTGCAGACCTCCTTGCACAAGTCGCTGTGGTAGCGCTTCCGCATGGCTCACGCAGGAATGAATGAATGGCTGGGCGCTGCCTCTTGATTTATACTTCAGAAATTCGTTGGTCTGCCCTTTACCTTCGGCCCTTGGTGCTCACAGTCCCCCTG